GTTGCTTCTCTCCTTGATTAGTTTCCACCCATTGCTTCTTGTTCTACACTCAGGTCCCTAGGAGAATAGTTTGACTCTCTCTTCTTTGTGGCAGATCCTCAAATATTGGAACACTGCTATCATGTCTCCCCTAGTCTTTCTTTTCATTAAACTAGACATACCCAGTTCCTGCAACTGTTCTTCATGTTTGAGTCTCCAGTCCCCTAATCCTCTTTGTTGCTCTTCTCTGCACTCTTTCTAGAGTCTCCACATCTTTTCTCCATCGTGGTGATCAAAACTGAATGCAGTATTCCAAGTGTGGCCTTACCAAGGCATTTATAATATTTTATAAGTGGTATTAATACTGCACGTGATCTTGATTCTATTCTTCTGTTTACGCAGCCTCGAACTGTGTTGGCTTGCCTCGAACTGTGTTGGCTTTTTTGGCAGCTGCTGCACATTGCTGTCTCATATTTAAGTAATTGTCCACTACGACTTCGAGATCCCTCTCCCAAATAAATGAGTTGAAAATGTTGAGATTTTCCTTCCAAATTTTATTTTATATTTTACCTTTTTACTATTGTTTTGGATAGGAATGCTGATAGCACACAGGTTCAAGTTGCGGAAAATAATGCAGTTTTAGAAACAGTATTATTTTAGAGGGTGTGGGCACTGATGACAAGAGACGTGATTAATGTTGAATGAGAGACCACTAGGAAATAAATCCTAGGCCCTAAACACATTTTAGGATGTGGAAAAACATTACAAAAGAAGTCAATAGTAAACAATTTTTGTATTACAACCAAGAAAACCAGAATGACATGCCTTTAAAAACAAAAGTAACCAAGCTTTATATTTACTTCTAAATAGTTTTTTAAAAATCTACCACAGATTTTTAACATTTTTATTTTAGTCTTTTTTTATTTAAAATTTGTTATATGTTTGTCTGTTATTTATCTGTAAGCCATTTCAAAACTGTTTTGTGTATGTAACTTTAAATGGGAATACTGTATATTTGTATAAGATAAATTAAAAAAAGAAATATACTAGATTATTATAAAGCTTATTTCTGTATGTGTCTATTCAACAGTGAATTCCACTGATTTCTGTGATCTCTGTTTCCAGGGAAATAATGTATTTTTGCAAACTTAGAGCTCAGTCAAGGGACATTGGGAATGAAATATTTAAATATGTTAAATCACTATTTGAAGATCAAAGAAATTGTGATTGATTTCCTGTGCAAAGAATTATTTTCCTTGGTAAGTTGTCCATTTAGACTAAGTGGTTCATATTTCCTTTGTATAATTAGTTTGGAACATCTGTTAACAAATTAAACATAGTCTACTGTTATGTTTGTGTGATGCTTCTGTAAAGTATGTAAATTAGTAATCATAACCACAACTTCTTGTGGCAATGCATTTTACTTTGAGTAAAACAAAAATACCTGAATATGCTCATAATAGTTTAACTAACATGAATAGCCCATTGGCAGGTGAATCATGTTCTTCCAAGTAGCTGCATGGAAAGAGTTCGGCTCTCAGAAGCTTATATCCTGATTGCTCTTTAAGTATATTTAGCATGTAACGTGTAGAACAACTTTGTTGT